GAATTACATTGTATTTTTATATTCTCTGGTTTCACTTTAGTAACACTGAGAGCGTCTGACTGACCTCAATGACCTGCTTGGAGTCCAATCTGAAGTTGAAATCGCCGAAGATGAAGTACGGCAGCCGCTCGAAGCGCTGATCCGTGATCCTGCGGAGAGATTGAGACGCACTCGGTCACTGGTGATCATCAGTGCAGGAGCCCCACCTAGTGGACGAGTGAGTGACGGATGATTGACAGCTGGCCTGCTGATGTCACTCGTCCACCGGTGAGGGCCTGCTGATCTGATCTGATCTGATCCAGTGGCTCTCACACTCAGCAGGATTCATGATTATTAATTAAGTCCAGAACTCAAGATTCACGCACCTGCAGGTCTCAGCAACGTCTTAAAAAATGCACCTTAAATGAGGGATAATTAACTCCGCATAGCAAATAATGTACTTGAGCAAGTGATGAAGAATTAGGCTTAGGACGAGTGTGTGTGTGTGAGTGTGTGTGTGTGGATTAATGGAAGGAGGATGCTAGGCCGGCTAATCGTTGGGATAAATCTCAGCTCACTCCCAACACCTAATAACAATGTATTTATGGCCCTGTAAAAGAGAAGCCTCTTCGCGCTCATAAAACACACACTTTTACATCTCTGACGCTTCACTGGCACAGACTCCAGATCCACTTCACATGAGCTCTAACACAGAGATGATGATGATGATGGGATCTGATAGACATACACTCATGATGATCAATATATCTCATGTCTTCAGCTCCAACAGACCTCCTTTTGGACAGTTATTTTGATGAAGAGTTTACAGTAAAATACTGATATATATATACTGATTTTACATAAACATACATATATATATATATATATATTAGTGCTGTCAGTTTAACGGGTTAATTAATTAGTTATGAAAAAATAATGTGATTAAAATATTTTAACGCAGTTAACGCACTGGCCCCGCCCCCCGACTACTACATCATCTTACATTTCATACAGTGGACTGTTGATAAATATGATGCAGGCAACAACTCCATAAATGCAGTTATGCCCTAAAATTCTAGATATTTGGGGCAAAAATGCTCCTTTGAGTTTTTGTCTCATATTTATATCATACGATAAGCGATACCACATGAGCAGGGAGAGCAATATCACACGAGTGCTGTTTATGTCCGAATATAATGAGTGCAAATGTGATTTTATACAACAGTTCAGTAAATGAGAAGTTAATATTGTGTTATATATTTTTTTTGCTCAGTTTTGCCAACAAAAATATTACCCATAAAGCCACAGCAGAATTGTGGTGCATCTCTGAGCAACACAGCTGTGTTTAGTTTCTGAATGAATCCGCGTTTTGAACGAATCGTGTGAATCAATGATTCAAAGAGCCATTCATAAAGAGAGCCGTTTACTGAACTCCTGAATGAATCAGCCGTTTGAACGAATCGAATGAATGAATGACTCATAAAGACATTTACCGCCACCTGCTGGCAGATTTAGTTTCTTATTTATATTATTTCATTTTTTTTTTTTTAAAGGGGAAAAAAGGAAAAAATTTTTTTAAAGGGATAGTTCACCCAAAAAAATTTAATTATGTCATCATTTACTCAAACCTGAAAGACTTACTTACTTTAGTGGAACATAAAAGATGGTATTTTGAAGACTGTTGGTAACAAAGCTGTTTTGGTGACCAATGACTTCCATTGCATGAACAACAAAAATTAAAAAACTGCGATGTTTCTCAAATTATCTTCTTTTGTGTTCCATAGTTTGTGTTCGGCCGTTGTAGCCTAAACGTTTATGTGCAATACATTTTATGTCTACTTAATACTTTCTCATTTAACACAAAAATAGCATTAAATAATCTTTTGTGGGTATTTTCAAAGCCAAATGTAATTTGCGATTAATTAGATTAGACAGCCCTAATATATATATATATATATATATATATATATATATATATACATACACATTTCTCACATTATATCACAGTTTATTCGCTATAGTTTAGAAAATGGTAATAAAATATGGGAAGAACTCCGAGTTAAACTGCGTCAGAACAAATTCATCTTGATGATGCCAGATAACTTTGATAGAAAGGTATGTAATGAATTCGGTTGAATAGCTGTTGAATGCAGTTTTTTATGTTGTTTATTTGTCTACATGGTGTTTTTAATATGCCTTTAGACAAACCATGTGCCAATCTGACCATTGCTGAGTATTTTCTCCTTAAAACTGTAGTTTCCCAAAAGCTGACCCAGAAATATGGTTTGAAACAGCCCTCGGTTTGCTACGTCACAAACCAATAACCAATCACGTCAAGGGATCGATTCCTATCACTAGCATGCAAAATATACCAATACCAGCACAAAACCAAAAATAAATTAAAGCAAAAAACCCATGAAGCTGTGGTTTAATGTGAATTTAGAACCGCTAACTTGCATTATAACCCATGGCAACGGTGTAAAAGTAGCCCGGAGTCAGACCCACCTCTCCCGCAGCTGCG